TATTAGCAGCACCTGTGAAAGTGTGAATGAGTAGTAGTCATGTGAAATCACTATCATACTAATTAGATTGTAAGAGCAGACAGATTGCTATAAAAGGAGGGAAGGAGCACTTCCAATCTTTGTGTTCTTGTTAGCAACGATTACTTCCAAAGAAACACATCATCGCGCTGCATCAAAATCGCCTCACATGTATTGCTACAAAGAATATTGCACCTGAAAGAACCATTTACCAGATCATCAAGAACTTCAAGGAGAGAGGTTCGACTGCAGTGAAGAAGTCTTCAGAACGTCCCAGAGTGTCCAGTAAGTGCCAGGACCGTCTCCTCCTGAGGAGTCAGCTGGAATCGTGTCACCAGCAGTGCAGAGCTTGCTCAGGAATGGCAGCAGGTTGGTGTGAGAGCATCTGCACGCACCGTGAGGCCAAGACTTTTGGACAACGGCCTGGTGTCAAGAAGGGCAGCAAAGAAGCCACTTCTCTCCAAGAAAAACGTCAAGGACCGACTGAAATTCTGCAGGAAATACAAGGATTGGAGAAGTTATTTTCTCTGATGAAGCTCCCTTCCGACTGTTGGGGACATCTGGAAAATCGATTTGTTCGGAGAAGAAAAGTTGAACGCTACCATGAGTCCCGTGTTGTGCCAACCGTGAAGATTCCTGAGACCATCCATGTGTGGGGTTGCTTTTCAACCAAGGGAGTGGGCTCTCTCATAATTCTGCCTAAAAACACTGCCATGAATAAAGAATGGTATCAAAAGGTCCTGCAAGAGCGACTTCTTCCAACGATCCATGAGCAATTTAGTGATTATCCGTGCATTTTCCAGCACAATGGAGCACCATGTCACAAAGCAAGAGTGATAAAGAAGTGGCTCGAAGACAATTACATTGAAATCTGTGGCCAGGCAAGTCCCCGGATCTCAATCCCATTGAGAACTTGTGGTCAGTCCTCAAAAGGCGAGTGGACAAGCAGAAGCCCACAAATTGTGATCAACTCCGAGACCATAGAAATGTGGAAAAAAATCTACAAATACTGAAACGGCAAACTTTGCAAAACCAAATTTGTCATTGCCAAAACTTTTTGGCCATGACTGTACAATGACAAGTCAATAGTTTAGTATTGTATTTTTGTGTTTGTTCAACCACTCATTCTGCCTAGATTCTGTCCATTGTGTTGTCTCCTATAGTTTGATGTTTGACTCCTAGAATAAAGTATTTGCATAAAACGTCTTTCACTATTTAATAGTGTGGTCTTATTCAGGCTTTTCTTTACTCAACTCAATAAATTCATTAACTTTCAGTTCCCATTATTTTATTTCTCTTTCAGTTCTCAATTTGTAAGCGGTCCTGGATCATCCAGCAGACTTTGTAAAAGAGCATTGTACTTTTGCTTCAGAGAAGTCTCAGTGCTGGCAGGCCACCATGACTTTTTGTCATTCACTACATACCGCAAAGCTAAAGTATGTACATTTATTTTAGTTTGGATAATAATATCGTGTGTGTCCGTTTTATGTTCTGTCTACATGGTTGCCCAGCTGTATCAGGAGACCAAAACTCAAGTCAATATACAGTTCTTAGCCAACAATGCTGGACCATGGAACTCTAAACACTTGGTAGATTGCTTCAGTCATTAAATGGCAGGTTGAACAACCCTTGAAATTCACTTTGGTTCCCAGTCATTTCAGGATTTTGATGTTCAGCAGACAGTCATCTTTTCTGTTGAATGTTCATTGACGTTTGAAGACGTGTTCATATATGTTCCTTTTTCAGATATTCACTTCCACTGAAAAAAAATTCTGTTTTTAAAATAGAAGAGCTTTACCAGCTATTTTGACCTGATAGTTAATTATTGTTTGTGTGGTTTTTCTCTTGCAGTGTTATTTCGATTCTGTAATTTGATGTTTTGTTTTTGATAAAGATTGCGGTGAAGAGACTTTTATGCTTGCCATACCTACATATAAATATTAGAGTACTTTTACAAGCCCATTCATAATTTATGATAAAAAAAATAAAACATTGTGAAATTGTTGTAATGTGGTTCTTTATTTAAAGGAATTAAATAATAGTTAATTACAATTCAAAATGCTTCAAGTACTTTGCATCACTGGATATTATTGTTGGCCATAATTTATTATTCAGACTCATCCACCTCAATGTCTATGGTGGTTATCACCCTGTATGCTATGCTATTGGTTGCAGGTTATTATTGTGTGAGTTTTAAAACAAATTGTATATTGGACATGTATATAGTGCAGTATGACTGAATCATAGCTACGTGGAAAGTAAGAAAACATTGGAAAATGTGTGTATATATAATGTAGAATAAGTTCTGCTTTTTAAATTTTAACACAAAACATCGTCACGTATTAAAACCTAAATAAGTAAATGAGCTCCTGTTAACCATGACTTTGGCTAATTAAACAGGAAAGTTACTGTAAAGTGATCTCAGTGAATGGATTTATTTGTACTTGCCCTTATCGGGAAAAAAGCTTATCTTAACCCGAAAGTATTTTGTTTTGACGCCTTAACTCCGGATGTGTGACGTGAACCTAATGCTAATGAACAGCTGAAAGGCGAAAAGTATCCCTTGTAGCATTGCGGCAGTACTGTAGCCCTCTTGGGTTATTAACTCCCAATGGAGAGCGGATCTTGTCCATGGGTGGATTTACAAACCTCAGTGTCGTCTTGATGGATTTTATTTGTACGAGTCTAAAGTGATGCGCTGAACAAGGTCGGTAGTCAGGTGACTTTCGGTTTTGGCTTTGCGCCATCTTTTACACTGGTGCTAGGTTTGAAATTGGTGTATTTTTTAAATTGTAACTCGTTCAACATTTGAATCTAGTTGTGTACCATTATCGTTACATTTTGTTGTTTTTGTTACTTGCTGTTTGTAGATGGGCCATTCCACCGAATTGTTGCCATTTGTTTGTTGTAAAACTTGTTTAATTATCTTTTTAAAACTGAATCTAATAACACATATATTAACTATTAACTAATCTCGGATTACTTTAGTTAGTTAAGTCCTGTTACCAAAACACGTGTGTTTAAAGCATGTTTAAAAACGTCAACTAATTCCTTTGTGTTCCCCTGTTTATTAACCATCAATAAATTGATGGTTTCATTATCAATAACTGATATCTGTAATAGAAATATTGTATATTTGTATTATATATGCACGCAAAAAAAATGTTATTAAAAAAGTTTTCTGTAGGGCAAATAGAGATATAGCGGATGTGACTGCGGTCAGGCCAGCCTCCACTTTGAAAAACACGGTCATTCTAGCTGCCACGTTGTTTTGTGGTGCGCGCATATACTAGGCGTTACGGTAATAGCGTGTAAAACTCAGATCAAAGGAAAAGCGATCTCTGGCATTCATTTATTGAGCCAGTTTCTCTGTCAATGAATGAATGAATGAATATATTTAAAATAATACAAATGTTTAAAAAACGGTCTGATAAAAATGAAAATGACTTCAAATGTTGAGTAATATTAAATGTAGAATTTTCAAATAAAATAAAAATAACTGTCTGATGAGAAATAACAAAAAACCCTTTCATGAACTTGCATATAACCATATTTATTTGTAAATTCACATAGTTATAAAAAGAAAACCTGTTTTCACAAAAAAAGTTTCACTTTTGATTAACAGTAGACCAGTCCAGAATGTAATTTCCCCAATGTCAGGACTGTCTGATTTCCCATTACAAAATAAAAGCCCCCCAAAACTCAAATGACTGGTTTTGTCTTTGATTTTGAATAGCTCTATAAAGGAAACTCCCTGTTTCCACAGACTAATTTCAATTCAGATTAGTGCAAGTTTCATGTTGACCAAGCGATATGAAGATATGAAAAGACCGAGTTTGAGAAACGAGGAAGTCTCGAGCCGTTCATGGTATCGCTTCATCAGAGACAGATGCCCATCCTGAGGGAAAGTCATGCCCCTCTTCATCGCAAACATTCAGAACCGGTTTGAAACGTTTCGATGGGCGAGTAAACGCTCGCACGAGTCTCTCGAGTGGCATTAGGTAGGCTTCTGAATGAATCACAAATTCCACACTGAAATTACTCAGAACATTTCCCCCCCGCGGGATTATAGGCTAAAGAAAGAACTACTCAGAAAGTGCTCACAACTTTCACCAATAAGGCTATTTAAAAGTTAGATATAAATGTTAGGCCAAAAGTTCAAATGTTTATTCTTTATTGATATGAGTAAAGGTTCTGAGATCAACATTATCGGAACGTGCTTATGTTATTTGAACTTGATTAAAGTTCTCTGTTGAGATAAAACGCTCTTAAAATAACGTTCTCGGAACGTCCTAAACATTTTATTGTAGCCTATCGAACGTTCTAAGAAACGTTTTTGTAACCTTTACAACCACGATAAGAAACCTGGACATTTTAGCGTTCTTAGAATATTATAAATAAACGTTCAAATGACGTTACATTTTGGGTGAAACAGAGTTATAACGTTTTTTTTTAAATCTTTCAGGAACGTTCTAGTCACGACAAGAAAAGCGGACATTTCAACGTGTTAGAAACATTTCAAAACAACGTTCCCACAATGTTTTACAACCCAAATGTGTCACATGTAAGGCAGCCGATACAGTGCCCGTGTTTAGACACGATGGTTCAGTTAGAGCAGATGATAAACACACACACACACACACACACCTGTGATGACGATCTTACCTCCACCTGCACGTAAGTTGAGGGAAACCATCCCTTGACTCCGTCCTTCTCTCCCTCCCACCAGCCTCCGTCCAGAGTTTGCGTTATTCTGATCACTTCTCCAGCCTCAAACTTCAGTCCCTGCTGATGCTGATCCCCGTTAAAGGAGTATAAACTTCGACAAAACGAGCCTGACATCGTAAACTCCTCAGGTGGCGAATCGAATCTCCAAACTGTCTCCAAAATTGTAATCCGAATGACTCCAAACTCGTCCGAGAGCTTAAGGCGTGTTTGTCGTTCTCAAGCTCGGAGTGGACTGTAATGTGAACGCTGTCAGGATCGCAGCGCATGGCACTGGAGTGAACACACCCACTCACTCACTCACTCACACATCATCATCATCTTCATCTTCAGAGACAGCAGAGCTCGTTCACTGCATTGCCTCATTCCGAAAAGCCTGATCTGTGTCACTCAACATCTGTATGATCTAATACAGGAGACCACAAAGAACTGCGACAGATCAGGCAGTTCTCCTGATGAAATACGGGGATGCCCTTATTATGACAGGTTACGATTAGAGTAACTTTTATTAATTAATTTTAGAAAATCAAATATTGTGAATTAAGTAGGAAATGTGTTTTTTTTTTTTGCCTATAAAGTGCATATAGGCTATATAGCCTATATTTACATCGAACATCAAAGTAACTGCATAAATTCGGTCAGGCCAGCCTCCACTTTGAAGAACACGGTCATTCTAGCCGCCAAGTTGTTTCGCGCATATACTTTGGCGTTACGGTAATAGCGTGTAAAACTCAGATCAAAGGAAAAGCGATCTCTGGCATTCATTTATTGAGCCAGTTTCTCTGTCAATGAATGAATGAATGAATATATTTAAAATAATACAAATGTTTAAAAAACGGTCTGATAAAAATGAAAATGACTTCAAATGTTGAGTAATATTAAATGTAGAATTTTCAAATAAAATAAAAATAACTGTCTGATGAGAAATAACAAAAAACCCTTTCATGAACTTGCATATAACCATATTTATTTGTAAATTCACATAGTTATAAAAAGAAAACCTGTTTTCACAAAAAAAGTTTCACTTTTGATTAACAGTAGACCAGTCCAGAATGTAATTTCCCCAATGTCAGGACTGTCTGATTTCCCATTACAAAATAAAAGCCCCCCAAAACTCAAATGACTGGTTTTGTCTTTGATTTTGAATAGCTCTAGGGTGTCACTCAGCCAGTTTCAGGACGATCTGATTTTGCATTACATAATAAACGCCCTCCAAAATCTCATATTCTACATGTTCTGCTTGTGAATTTGAATAGCTCTAAAAAAGGAAACTCCCTGTTTCCACAGACTAATTTAAATTCAGATTTCCAAAAACTCAAATATGACCAGTTTTGTCTTTGATTTTGGATAGCTCTAAAAAGGAAACTCCCTGTTTCCACAGACTAATTTCAATTCAGATTGACAGTTCACTACCCCAGGGTGTCACTCAGCAGGTTTCAGGACGATCTGATGTTGGATTACAAAATAAAAGCCCTCCAAAAACTTATATATGACCAGTTTTGTCTTTGAATTTGGATAGCTCTAAAAAGGAAACTCCCTGTTTCCACAGAACAATTTCAATTCAGATTGACAGTCCAC